CTACTTAATTAATTAAATAATTATCCAATTTAAAATGCCGGATTCTATAATTAATATTACATATTGATAACACAAAGCTTTGGACTTTATTACACTTTTGCAAAAATAAATTGATAAATAAAAAAGTTAAAAGTTTTTTAAACATAACAATATCACTTAATTCTTCGTATATTGTGATCCGAAGTTATAATACTCTAAATAATTATTATTTAATTTTATCTAATATTTTTTTAAAGAATACGAAATTGAAAGCAATGTGCAAATAAACGGACTTGCATCTCCATTTTGTTTTATATCACAAAAAGGAAAAAATAAATAAATACAATCACATGGGAGAATGAAACAACCGACATCTAACGTCAAGTATCGATTAAAAAAATAAATAAAAGAATGAATAAAACAAAATAAAATAAAATGAAAAATTTTGAAATGCGCACAAATGGCAAGATCACCTACAACGTTGCAGCACAATTGTACGTACTACCTCCGTTTGGTGACCAATGATAAGTAATTCTAAATAGCAATCCAAAGGTAATTTGGCACAAGTATGTAAAATGATAGTAGATAGAAGGTGTTCCTTCTTTTTAAGCCAACCACTTCTTATCCAATATTTTTTTTTTTAATTGCTCCTTAATTATTCTCTCTTTTGAAAAGTAAATCATGCCATTATTTTAACTTATTTTTCTTCTTTTTATTTTTAATTTCTAGTGACATTATCTCTTCTCACAAATAACAACAAAATAAAATATTTATACTTTTTTTTAAAAACAATGTCGTTTCTAAGTTTCTTTGGAAACCATATAACTAAATATCAAAGTGTTTTCCAAGTCTTATTAGAACTTTGTCCAACTAGTGACAATTATGTTATGCTAAGTTGACCATAGGATTACAATGTATTATCTAATTACAACCAAAATCTAGTAATAGCTATCATAACAATTTTGATATGCCAATTTGTAATTAAATAAGACATATCTAATAGACTCTTCTAATCGACAGAAAACACAAGTTATTGAAACTTCTTGTTGAAAGATGTTTTAGTTGGTAAAGTTTACACTTGTCGGTGGCCTATTTTTGAGTGTCCTCCATACAAAAATGTCACATTTGATGGTGCCTTGAGTTTTCATACCCTAGACAAAAGATTTGGTAAGTCTTATGGGTTCGTTACCAAATATGAATATGTTGTCTTTACTGAGAACTCATTGAATGGTGATGATGATAGTTTCAACAAGATTTTATCTTGCATGTCGTCTTCCAATTCCACTAGTGAATAACTTTGAGATTTTGGCAAGTGTATCAAGTATGCTATAGTATAAATCGAAGTAGGAGTGTTGTATCTATAGGGACTTGGAAGATATTTTGTAATTTTTATTATCCTAATTAAAACTTGTAAAAGAAAGATTTACTTGTACATAAGTTTGTTGTTTTGTAATTGAACATTAAACAAGTACAAAAATGCAAGTATAAATTTGAGAAGAAGATAGTGAGAGTAATTGTCGGGATTGAATTTCAACTATTCTTATAAGATTATCTACATGTGATTCCCATCACTTAGTGTTATTGAATTCTCAAATTTATTCCAAATCAATTGTCTTTGAAAATTTTAAGGATCCTAATTTAATAAACGATTCTTCAGTTTACTAAATCAGAGTCCTTGTATTAAACTCAAGAATTTGATCAACTAACTTTAAATCTATTCCTAGTCTTTATAATCATTAGGTGACTTGATTCAAACTAGATTTAGAAATTATTTTTCAATCAAAGTCTAAATCTCAAATCAAAATAAGAATGATCAATTCACTTTAAGCATTAAGAATAGAAGCAAGTCACTAGCAAATAATAACATGATATCATATATATAAATAAAAAAGATTACAAAAGAGTTTGATAGATTACATTCAATCTCAACAAGGAGGAAGATTAGCTGCTCATGGTGATGAGAATAATCTCCATTTATAATGAAAACATAGATAAGAGAGGATGAACCTAAGATCTTTTATCCCTAAAGGTCTTGAAGCTTTCTCCCTTCTTTAGTTCTATATTCTCTCCATCTCTGATTAATTGATCCTTATTCTCTCTCCATTTCCCTTTTATATATCCAGAAAAATGAAATAGACTATCTTGTAAGTGGACAATCTGATTAGTTGTTTCCATTTGTTTGAGAGGATTTTGAATTCTTTATGGTGAAGAAAACTCAATCTATTGACCCCTTTGTAGTACGCTAAGCTCTTTTTAGTTCTAGATTTTCTTATCAAATTTGCTCATCCTTTTTAAATTGCTAAGCGATTTTCCTGCTAATGCACTTCTTTGCTCTCTAGCTCAAATCGTCTCATCCTTTTTGATTTGGTTGAGCCAAATCTTGGCATAGGCTCTCTTTCTATATTTTTTTCCCAATCTATTGAGTAAATTTTGAATGGTTGAAAGGTTTTCATAATTTTTGGAGGCCTTGGAACTTGATCAATTTTTCAATAAAATAAGGTTCTTTAGTTCATAAAAATCATCTAGTCTTCAAAACTATCTACTTTAAACATCCTTTTGATTTTCCCAATATTTTAGAGATTACAATTATATTTTCTTTTAAAACCAGTTAAATAAGTGTCAAAAGAGTTAAATCATTTAAGTAAAATCGACACTTATCAATAATTGACATAAAATTGTCAAATAACTAAAGTTTCTATTGGAATTATGCCTTTTTCCACTCTAACTTTCACTTTCGCATCTCATCTATCTTGTCCTCATGTCTCTTAGTGCACCCTCTTTTGGAAGTGAATTTGAATATAGCCTCTCATATTTTTTTCCCAAGCTCGCTCCACCCACTCAAACATCATGCCAAAATCTCACCACCCCATCATTCTCTAACTCTCAACAAGAATTATCATCTATTAATGTAAATGTATAATATAAATATATTATTTTATTAGCATAATGGTAGATAAGAGATGTCACCTATCAACTATTGAATAAATAGTCAATGACATATTAAAAATTTTCAAACTAAAACACTCACTACTACAATTTGAATAATCTAAGTCACTTAATTTAAGATAGTTTACTAAAAAATGATGTAGAATAAGATGCGGTAACATTTTTGTAAATAAAAGGAACATAATCTATACGGTTTAGACAACTTGCGTAGTAGAATAGCTTAAACGAACTTATCTACGATGGTTTTATTGAAAAATTGACTTAAATGATAAATGATCTACGACGATTTTTGTATAAAACTTGCTTATATAAAAACCCACAATTAAGCCGCACACGTTCCCTCTCAATTCATGCGCACCCTTCAATCTCCCACTTAAATGATGTAATTTTTTTTTACCTTTTCATAATAAAACTTGCTTATATTGGTCGTTTGTGAATCGCATGTCATGTTTCTAGATTTGTAACTTGTGTGATTTTTTGCTGATTTTTTTGGATTTCATTTTTATGTATTTCTGTAGGAAGTTGACATCTCCATTTTTATGGATGGTGTCTAAGTCTTATTGTTTGAAGTTGCAAATTTCCTTCATACACCCAACTTAAATATTAAAAAGATTAGGATTTTTCTGTAAGTAATGGTGAGCACCTCTTCAATTATTTGCTAGATAGCACTTCTATAATATAAATTTAATTTTTAATGTAAATAAAATAAAATAAAATAAGATTTTATTTTATTTTATTTGCTAGATGGCACTTCTATTATATAAATTTATAATATAAGTTGAGCACCTCTTCAACTTAAATAGTACTATTATGTATAATATAAATATAAATATATAAGTAATGTTATTAATGTATTATTTTATAATATAAATTTAATTTTTACATATTATCGATGTAAAATTTTTATTTGAATAAAATTTTCATAAATAGTTGTAAAAAATGATTATTTTTATACACTTAAATTAAAACTAATTTTTAAAATTTTGAAAAATTACTTTTAACTTATACGTAAATTATTTTTATTTAATTAAATATATATTTCCCTTTTTCTTATAAACTAATAAGTAATTCGTGCATATGCATGAGTGTTTTCTTTTCGTGATTACTTGTGAAATAAACATTGTTTAAACAATTCTATATTAAATCAAAATAAAACAATAAAATGAAAATGTGTAAAAAGAAAAAAAAATACAATGCCATTTTTCTATTAAACATAAATAAAATTCATATTTATGAGTTATTGTAATATCACAAAAATTGATCATTCTACCTTTAGTCAAAATTATTTAATTTAAGAATATATAATATCATACAAAATGTAAGCACCATACTCTATGTAATTAAGCAAATGAGTTGTAAAAGTCTCTTCACAAAACAATTGAAAGAATTCTAACACAAATAATATTACATTCCTTAATTAACTATTTCAAAACTTACACCATGAAAAAATATATTTAAAAATAAGAAAAGTGAAGCAGTTGTACATAATAATTGAACTTCTATAAAAAATCTTTTTTTTTAGACATGCATTTTTGCTACAGATAAAATAAATCACTTATGCAAAATTATGTGATAGATAAGTAATTTATTTGAATTTGTTATAGTGTGATTATACATTAGTGCACAACTAAAGATAGCATAGAGTAATTCAAGAACTTAGAAATATTTATAAAATTATGTAAGAAAATAATGTTTAAAATTCAAAATTTGTAATTATTTTGTTAATTTAATTTGTGAAATAATAAAATAATTCAATTATTTTATAACTACATTGTAAATAAAATAAATCTTATTAATTTTATATCTTTGGTTATACAATCCTAGTTATTATTTAAAGAGACAACATGATTATATTTTAAAAAGTGTTAAATTATTTTGCAAATTTAAAAAGGATCATTCATTATTTATCCACAAGTCTAATAGTATTAAATATAAAAAATGTATTAAGAATAATCAAGTCTTGCATAGATTAAAGATAAAACAATTAAAAAATATATAAGTAATTCCCCTTATAAATGATTTTGGTGGAGTTACATAGAATCAAATTTAAAACATGAGTGAATGTGTTATTTGCAGCATCTAAGATTAAGAATTAAAAACATCATCCAAAAATGAATCACATGAGTATATGTGTTATTTGCAGCATCTACCGTACCTTATCTCCCGTTGATTCTGTCCACTGTCTGTTGTTCGCAGTGATACATCAAACCTTTCTTTTACATTCACTACCGAGATGAACACTGTCTCCTCAATTCAACCACCTCACCATTTCCATTGCACAACATTCTTCTCTTACACTACCACAAGGTACCCTTTTTCTTCACTCTTTCAGAGGGATTTTCTTGCATGCCCAGTATCCATATTTCTCTGTCAATTTCAAAATCCCAAGAGTGAGGAGGAAACTCATGTGGGGTGTATTTGAATAGGAGGTTAGGTATCTGGGTCCAAACCGTTTGCCATAAGCTAAATTATAAGTCTCTAAGAGCGGGTTTTGGTAAAATACCCGTTTAATAAGTTCATTCACAAGTTTGGTTACTTACATTACATAAGTTAAAAGGAAAGTAATGTTATCGCCTTTTACAATTCCTCCAACAAATATCAAAGTATTAGATTAAAAGAAATAATAAGTGCATTTAATGTATTAAAAACATAAAAAAAATAGAGTAAATTACGGTGACACGTATAGTGTTTTTTTCACAAATTTCACGCATACTCGAGCCTTACATGAATACATAATGTAATGTGTTTCTTAGGCATCATGTGAACTTCGTAGAAAAGAAATCACATGGGTGTCAATGTAATTTGCTCTAAAAAGATATTCAATACCTTTTATATTTGGTGTGAAATCTTATTAAAAAAGATGTTTAAAAGACAAACCATATTATAAGTTCAAATAAGCTCTTGGAAATGCCCTTAGGTGCGTTGGAATAGCTTTTATTCAGGGGACTTATCTTGTTGCATAATCATTTGTGCAAGTGTTTTAGAGAACTTATGGGAATAACTTACGATAGTTCATGAGCTTTTTTCAGTTTATTTCAGTAAGCCCTCTAGAATAACTTACAACTTTGCGGATGCAAGGATTTCCATTCTCTTTTCATCCATTTTTCATTTTCTTCTTTCTGATATTATAGAAACTTGAACTTTTTGCCCTTATGAATATTTTACATCAGGACTCAACTTTCTTTTCCTGCAAAGGTCTTCTTTTGCCAGGCAAAATCTGGTTAGCATTTTCATTTTTATTTTTTATTTTTAGATGTTGCAAATTTGCAATTGATATTCTAATGAGCATAGAGATTTCATGGAGGTGCTTTTTTACTCAGGCATAGATGGATCATTGAATTTAAAAGTGGTGTCTCCCACTCTGTTAGCAGCAGAAAGGGAAGAAGCCAAGGCTGTATTGACCTTGTTTTTGAAGAAACATGGTTTGAGCAATGCGGTTGCTGCTAGAACCATCAATAAATCAGATCTTTTTATTGATCACCTTGTCTCAAAGCTTCATTCTAAACACAAATCTTGGTATCTTGCAGGTTCTGTCACAACAATTAGTTACTCTATTTTGTAACTTTCTTCCATGTTGCATCCTGCTAATCACAGTTTCATTGACATAAGCAGGGAGGGAGCTTACAACTCTGGAGATCAGGAACGCCCTTATCCCGTATCTTGAATCTCTTTTTGAAGAGCATGGAGACTTTCTAGTGGATGTTGTGGAAAACTATCCAAATCCACCTATTAAGGATAAATCAGATGTACCAATTCCTCCTTCTAGTCCAGTGTTAGACTCTAAGAAGCTAAAAGCGGTGTCTCGGGTGAGTGAGATAGACCTGGACAGTGGCAATCTTCGCCCTCATATTGTCTATCTCATGGAACTTGGTATGGATATTGAGCAGATTAGGAGTATCACGCGACGATTCCCATCTTTTGCATACTATAGCTTGGAGGGTAAAGTTAAGCCAGTGGTTGAGTTTTTTCTTGAACTTGGAGTGCCAATAGAGAACATTCCCACTATCCTCACTAAAAGGCCTCAATTATGTGGAATCAGTCTATCTGAGAATCTTAAACCCACCATGAAGTTCTTAGAATCTTTGGGCGTTGACAAGAAGCAATGGCCGAAGGTGATCTATCGTTTCCCCGCCCTACTAACTTATAGCAGGCAGAAAGTGATGGAAAGCATAGATTTTCTCCATGAATTGGGCCTCTCAGAAGAGAGTATAGGTAAGATTTTAACTCGCTGCCCCAATATTGTGAGTTACAGTGTAGAGGACAATCTTCGACCAACAGCTAACTACTTCCGTTCTTTGGGGGTTGATGTTGGCATTCTTCTATTCAGATGCCCACAGAATTTTGGTCTTAGCATTGAGACCAACCTAAAGCCTGTAACAGAGTTCTTCTTGGAGAGGGGATACACTTTGGAAGAAATTGGGACCATGATTTCAAGATATGGAGCCTTGTACACTTTCAGCTTGACGGAAAATTTGATTCCAAAATGGGATTTCTTTTTGACCACAGGTTACCCAAAATCTGAGCTGGTTAAGTTCCCTCAGTATTTTGGATACAGTTTAGAGGAAAGGATTAAACCTAGGTTTGCAATTGTGAAAAAATCTGGAGTAAAGTTACTTTTGAACCAGGTTCTTTCACTGTCAAGCAGCAACTTTGACGAGGCCTTGAAAAAGAAAATGAAGAAAATGCAACATGGTTAGGATTCTAGTTAGTTAGGTAATGAAAATTGGGATTTTCAGGCACTGTTTCAGGTTATAAGATGCCTATTGCTAAACTTCATGATTGTTTTGTTTTGTTTTTTCAGGGATTCAATAGCACGATGACTGAGAATTTATGTGAAGTGAAAAGTTGCAGCTAACATGGTCAATCAATAGCTAGCTCTGAAACCAAAATGCAGCTCATGCCCATGAACTTAAGCATTAAGATATATTGGAGTGATTTTGAGCATGGTAGCTCCTGAAACAAAATATTTTCACCGGGTATTTTTGACATGAAAGACCCTGGTTAGCTCTACTTGCTGCTTTATAATGTATATGTGATTGTTTTTATCTCCATACATTAATAGGAGTGCTTGCTGTGTATATCTTAGTAAAATAGGTGATTAGGACATGGATGAGGTGAGATTAAGCCAAAATTTGCCAATTATTGATTTAACCAAGGTGATAACTCTATTTAAATCATCACATTCTGATCTGGAAATCTGTATTTCCTTTGCATTTCCGTGAACCATGCATATACAAACATACACACAGAACAATGTGTAGGCTATACTATAGTTTGAGTTTGAGAAAGTTAATTTTAACTGTTTAATCTTAAATAGATGGTTAACATTATTTACAAGTAAAATCAATCAATTATTTATATATGATTATATGATTAAGATTAGTTAAGCCTTAGTTTTTTTGTTTTTTGTTTTCTTGATAGTTAGTTTGTTTAGGGTTGAAGTATTAGTATCCAAAGACAAAATGTTCAAGGAATAGTGACTGTTCCCTTCAGAAAAACCATTCCCAACTAATTAACTATAATAACTGTCCTAACTAATTATCCTAACTCTACAACGTATCCATTTGCTTGTGAACTCACCTCCCCTGCCATTTAGCCAATGTTAGAGGCTTAGAAGGAAAAGTTGATTTCATTCTATGATGTCTGTTTTTGTTATTTGTTTATGTAATTGACAACGATCGCCTTTCATTCTCCATTTGAATTATAAGTTTGGAATTTTTCAGGGACTTGTAGTTGTAGTCATTTTTTGGGATACATAAAGTCCGTTTGGATACAAACTTAGAAATTCTTTTGAGAATTTTTCTAAAAACTATTCATTATTTTCAGTAAATAAGCTTTCAAAAGCATTTCTGACTTGTATCCAAACAAGCTTATAGTGTAATTTGTTCACTTGACAGCCACCAAGACAATGATGACGCAAAGTATCTAATGTGTCCTCTTGTAGATGTAACTTGTTCTATGAAGCACCGATATTTCAATTTATTTCACATATTCGTATTCGATACGTATCCAACACGATATTCTTAGATACTTCACCGATACGTGTCAATGAAGTATCCTAACCTTTAAAAATATTATAAAAAATTTATTCAATTTCAATACTTTCAAATACTACATTGATACTTATTAGTGATAGTAGTGATAAAGTATTCAAATTTTTTTAAAATATCCATTACAACTAAATAAGATATATAAACATGTTTAATATCGAAATATTGGTCATTGATGAATTGTAAATGAAAATTGTCTTCTATATAGATAATTTTAAGAAAGGAATGAAATTGGTAATATTATTTCTATTTGTAAATAATAAAAAGTAATTTATGATGAAATGATTTATAATTTATTTATTTTTAGTAATGTACAATAAGTATGTTTTTAATTTGGATTTGCAAAATAACAATTATATATTTAATGTATATGAATTTTGATCAAAATTACAAGTACACATTTATTATATTATATGAACATTGATACATATGATAACACGTATCTTACAAGTGTCGTATCTTATATATTTTTAAATAATTATATCATTGTATCGGATACGACACGTATCCGATACACATATCGTATCGGTGCATCATAGAACTTGCTGCATTAAATCTGCATGCTTTTGTATATCCGATATTTGCAACACAGAAAAACTGCATTAATCTAAGTGTCTCAAAACTTTTGTTCACATATTAAAACTTGCATATGTAGCAACATCAAAACGTATGTGTTGTTCGATTTGTCGCAAAAAATTCTGAATCTTTTTCTAGGCAGACTTAATTTGTTGTTCAAATCATAACTAAATTGTTCAAAATTTTGCTGCATCTTTTTTCGCAACTTGCGAATCAACTCTTTGAGAATAATATTTCATTGGAAGACAAGTTAAATTGGGTCAATTAAAATGCCAGTTAGAAACATTATGTTTCCTTCAATATAGTTTGTATACTGGTTAAAACAACTCGCCAATTAGTGTTAGCAGTTTGAATCCAACATAATAAATTCAAACGCATAAGAACTGTCCTTATGTAGACAATTGATCATGAAAAAATAAATGCAACCCAAATAAGCATCAACCAGACCAGTCAAATTTAGCATTTCTTATGTTGGATTCTATCTATCATTGGAGTAAACAAATAGAATATCGAAACTTTTATGGAAGACTTGAATTGTTTGACAATAGTTTGTATGCTGAATTTTATCTATTTTTTTCAACTCTATTACGTTAATATTTGAAATTGATCTGGGAATTTGGAGTTTGAAAATTGTGGTATTTATCTTCTGTTTTTTGGTGGATTTTAATTTTTAAATTAGAGAATCCTCATTTAATGTGGAAAACTTGTATTTATTCATCTCCACCGAGATGCTCTCTTGCGATGGGAAAGCATTGAAACCCAACTCTATTGGTAGGGATATGGGGAACTAATGAATTTGATTAATATAGAAATATGGAGGCAAATACCCCCTAAGAAAACAACTAAGACAGGGGAAAGGAAAAATGCTAATCGCTTGAGTATACCACTAAAAATGATAAGGGAACAACTCTAGAAAAGTACCACCACTACAACTTGGTAAGAAATAAAAAAGTAAGAGAAACTTTTCCATGAGGGATGAACCAATCCAATCAAGGGCCCAAGTTCAACTTGATAAGGGGGGAGATAATGTCTATACAGCCTCTAATCAACTTTAGGTAGACTGATGGAAACCCAAAAATGGGTGGATATAATTATTTCAAATAAAAAATAGAGATTGACAGATTAATCTACTACCTCCCTTTCCTAGAACACAAGTTTTGATTACAAACCAATAAAATTTCTTCAATTATTCCCCTTTCTCAAGCTACTCTGTATCTATTATCATCTCCTTCAACTAACTTTCTAAAATTGATAAAAGAAGATAAATTGTAAAGATAAGTTATGATAACAAAATTCAGATTACAATTCAAATGATAAATCCTAAAGATAAGTTGTGAAAATAAATTCAAATAACATAATCCTAAAGATAAACTATGATAACATAATTCAAATGACATAATCGTAAACTAGATTTGCTACTTTGAATAGTGTTTTATCATTGTCCTCTCCTATGATATCAACCTTGTCCTCAAGGTTAAAATCATCAATGGACCTCTTCTAGTAGTGTATTCACATTCTCCTATTCTTCCTCCTTGTTGCTCTTTACCAACTCGATCTCTCCTTCTCCATTGATAACTTCGTCTTCAGCAAGCAAGGTGAGTTTGAATTGTTTGTTTGGACATTGATGCATAAGATAATATCTTTGACCGCAACGATAACACAACCCCTTATTCCTCCTGTCAAACAATTTTGCAAAAGATAGGTTGTGAGTTCTGCTACTCCTCACATCTCCCAAGTGCCTGTTATTTTCAACATCTAACCCTGACTCATGTGCCTTGGGTTCAAGTTTCGAATTTTGGGGATTTATTCCTATGATCAAAGGTGGGATGAAAAGAGGAAGAAAACGAAGTCTCAAATTTACGGTAATTCAGTTCAACATTGACAATCAGTTTTAGACCAAAGCCTTTCACCTTACTATCTACCTCCCCATATAGAGTACACTTCATATCTCGAGCTAAAGAGATAGCCTTGTTAATTGTCTTAGAGTGGTGAAAAGATGCACCCATTGTCTAATTTGACTCCCTCTATTTTCTTTTCATAGTCGTTTTGTTAGTATTTTGTTATTTTTTTTCATTGTCACTTTTATAAAACTAATAACTTATTAATTTTCTTTTTCATTTTTATTCTTAATAATTGATGTATATTTACTGAACAATGTGTCTATTTATTTTTTAATATATTTATTTCTTCTCCAACCACCTAAAGGGTATAACAGGAAAATAAATAATAAATACTTTAAAAAATTAAAATATCAATCATTTTCTTAATTTTTGTGCATAACCTTAAACGACAATGAAAAAAAAACCGGAAGGAATAAGATTTAACTCATGCATGAAATATACGATGGCTTGTGGTACAACTAAACATGGGACTTGGGAAGACAAAAAAAAAAATTCAAACTCTTCAATAAGTTGTGCAACAAAATGCCCCTGTATAAGTGTAGTTAGTTGTTCGTATGGATTACTAGTATTTATGTCCCCAAAGCGCTCCAACAATGCCTCCTTTAACTTCTCCTAGGAAAGCCCAGGAAAACCAATGAATGACATGTCCTTCCATCAACAATTGAGCAAGAGGAATTTTCGTCTCTAATGGGGTACCCTGCACATGAAAATACATTTCTACTCGAAAAATCTAGCCACATGGGTCTATACCATCAAAGGAAGGCAATTCAACTTTCCTTGTTGTAAGTTGATAGTCATTAGGAACACCTAAGGGAGGAGGGGCCACGTCAGCCTTGTGGGGCTAATTACTTGTGTTTTGTTTTAACCACCCAATGATCATGGAGCAGAACTTGCATTTTCACGACGTTCAACCTCATTTGCTTTTGCTTCTTTGATGAAAGATTGTTGGAGATCAGCAACCAAGGACTGCATCACGTGAAATTCAGCTTCTAGAATTGTGACTTTAGAGTCCTATGCAATGATCTTAAACCATCGTGAGCTATCTGGAAGGTCGAACCAATGATGGAAACCCAAAAAGGGGTGGGTATTATTATTTTAAATAAAAAATAGAGATCTATGGCCTCCCTTTCCTAGAGCACCAAATCTGATTACAATCCAACAATATTTCTCCAATCATCCCCCTCTCAAGCTACTCTGCATTTATTGTCATCTTCCTCAACTAACTCTCTAAAATTGGAAAAAAAAACAAAAAAAAAAAGATCAATCTTAAAGATAGGCTATGATAACAAAACATAATCCTAAACTCAATCCTAAAGATAAGCTATGATAACAAAATTAAAATGATAAATCCTAAAGATAAGTTGTGAAAATAAATTCAAATAACATAATCCTAAAGATAGAATATGATAACATAATTCAAATGACATAATCATAAACTAGATTTGGTACTTTGAATTGGATTTAGTCATAGATATGGAACAATTGTAAGTTTTATTAGTTGGGCAACAAGAACACGATTACATGGTTTTCCATTTACACATAGAGAGAAATGGAGGGCAATAGAGGCAAAATCTATCAAAATCCAACATTGAGTATAGTATTTTGTTAGGGTTATTTTATGGTATTTATTTGAGGGGATATTTTATGAGGGTTATTTTTTATAAGGTTA